CTTTCTAAAAAGATTATATAAGAACCAAATATTACGGGGACGTTGCTGTCGTTGCCTGGAAAATGCTTGAATAAAACTTTATTATGCCTGAATTGCTTTGAGGTGTTATAATCTTTCCACAAGCCTAGATTTTCGTCGTCCAACGACTGCTCGTTTAAATCCCCAAAGGAGAACAGAACAGCAAGAACGCAAGAATAAAAGTATGTGTGTTTGAATGCTAACAGCGTACCTTTTCAAGGCAAGCACAGTGCGTTCAATATAGGCCCACAATCGGACCAATCAGACTGGTTTTCTGACTCCTCCGACTGACGGGGTAGCGTCCCAATCCTAGTGGCTGCTTGCGCGTCATCACGTGCACTGTATGTGGGCGGAGCGATAACGTGGCGTAAATGCGAGTCGCTAGGTTAGCTTGCCAGTGAGTCGGTTAGACCGGCTCCAAACACTAGGTTCTGTTCCACGTTCATCAGTCTTGTAGCTGAACCTTCGTAATATTTCTCTTCGATGCTCCTGAAGTTATTACGCGAATAGAAAAAAAATTAAAATCTGTTTGGCTTGCAAGCTTTTCGGTAGCCTTCTGGTCAAAGTGATTGCTTCATTGTAATTTGCCAACTTTTCCCTGCCTGCCATCGCGTACATTCAATCATTCCGACAGTTTCTCCTCCGCCTTATCAGTACATCTCAGCAGCTGTGGCCATTCTACCTAAATTTGGCTGTATCTCCCATTATTTGTTTGCAGAAAGTTGGAGGTGGGACAAATACAGAGAACGCAAGGGTGAAGTCAGACCGTGTGGAGAAAATGAAGCCTATAAAGGATAGGAAAATTACCGTTGAATTCTCTGCAGACACGTACTCGCGCATGGCCTGGAACTTCAAGCCAGCACAGAAGTCGGTGAGCTCACGCACACACTGGTCTTGTCTCTCTCCCCGTCCCCACTGCTGTCGTGCCGCTTGGATTTACTTTCTGTATTTTGTAGGTTACCATAGTACCGGGCGAGACCGCGCTCGCCTTCTACACGGCGAGGAATCCCACGGACCGACCAATTACGGGTATCGCAACCTACACGATTGTACCTCTTGATGCAGCCAAGTACTTCAATAAAATCCAGGTTGGTCCCTTCGGATTATCCTGATTATTATTTACTCCACACAATTGGCTACTTATCGTTATTTAGTAAGCGTTATATTTGCATATATCAAACGCTCATGTCCCTCGTATTGTCATACGCCCAATGTAATTCCCTTTTTCTTTTCCTTTAGTGTTTCTGCTTTGAAGAGCAACGTCTCAATCCTGGAGAGGAGGTTTGTGTGACCGTTTTTACTACTTATTCGCTTTGTTGGCTCAGTTCGACTTAGTCTGGACCAGCTTGTAACAGTATTTTAGCATGAACATAAGACCTTTTGTAAGCATTAAATTACATCTTCTGCAAGACGTAGTCCGTTGAAACGCATGAACACATTTTAGGATGATGATGAAACTGGACTGCGTGCAAATTGCACCTTTAACTACCAATTGTCCCCCACGCTCTCTCTCTCTCTCTCTCTCTCTCTCTCTCTCTCTCTCTCTGGACTTAACTGTTTTTCTCGCTTCATATATGGTCTCGTCTTTTACTCGAAATGATTAAATTGGGCCTGAGGGGTTAGCAACCCTATATAACGTCAACTTAACCCTTAGCATGATGCCTGTTTACTGAATAACTCATCATTTCAGGTCGACCTGCCGGTCTTCTTCTTTCTGGACCCGGAGTTTGACGATGATCCCCGGCTCATGCGTGTATCGAACCTCGTCCTGCACTACACCTTCTTCGAGGCGAAGAAGGAGAAATTGATGATACCGGGGATTTCCACGCCCATTCTTGAGGAACCCAACATCCCTCAGTCGCTGTCTGCTAGCACGTGATCTGCTCCCAAAATGCAGGCCATGATTATGCGTAGATTGGTATTTCTTGACATCTGACCATACTGCTTATCTATTTTGCCAACCGCAAAGTGTTCTACTTTTGCTGTTTTCTGTCTTCTTTTTAAAAACTTAACTCAGGCTTTTTTGACCTTCTTCCTCTTTCTTTGGACTGACATCACTGAAGCGCACGCAGTTTTGGTGTTGTAAGCCGACCTTGCTGCGGCCTAGTCGCTGTTACTTAGCTAGTTCGATAGGGTGTTCCAAAAGTATTCGCACCTCTTAAAAGTTAGATAGTTTATTTAAATTATTAGGAGAGTTCAGTTGACCCAAATTGTGAAAAAAAATTCGGCGTCGGTGGGAGCCAAACCCACACAGCAGGAAAGGCTTTTGCGCAGCCAACGCTCTACCATTGGTCTATGAGGGTCAACTAAATTATTCAAATCTGCCAAATCCTCCTAGCAATTAAGTGAGCCTATTATTCATTCTGGTGGATTCTAGATGATTGCTTAGGAAATCCTGCCTGGGCAGACAGCTTACTATCTCCGTAATGTTGGATTCCATACGAGCAGTGGGTTGGGCAGGTAAACCGACCCGGCAACAGTAGCTTATGTAGCCCCACTCATTAATCCCTACAACCTGTATGT